CCATGTTCCCCTGGGCTTCCTCACAACTTCTCCACTTAGTGAAACCAGGCTCCCAGGCACAGAAATACCAATAGAATCCTCATTCCCTTAAATGTAAAGACCATCTTCCCAAGTGTCAGGGGAGAAAGTATATTCCAGTCCAGCCATTTCAAGCATTGGTGATAATTCTTGTTCCCTGGCCATTTGTAATAATGCCTCATTTTCTTACAATGCCACATAACTTCTCTATTATCTACTGGCATTACAGCTGTTGATATCTTGTTTTCTCTGATGGGACTGTGCAGGGACTTTTTAAATCCAGCACCTGACAAGAGTTTCAGGGGAGACTGCCATAAAAAAGGCCATAGATTATTCTTAAATTGCTTATTCTAAGTCCTACCCAGTGTTTTTAAAATTGCCATCAGTAAAGTATTAATGGTAATAGTAATAGAAGTGATATCTACAATTGGCCCTCTTGGACAAGCTATATATAACATATTCCCCATAATAAGGAGCTCTGCTTTGAGCCAAGGCATCAACCTTAATAAGCTACACTACTCCTACTGGTGCTGCTAAGAGGTTGTTCGGACAGTTCATTAAACACCATTTTTTCTGCGGTTGGAAATCTAGCAGCACTAAGTATATTTGCTGTGAAAATGGCAGGCTCAGCAGCACATCTGGGGAAAGATTGTTGGAGAAAGGATTTAATTTCATTAGAATTGGTGGGGTTTTTCTTGTTTTATCAGATTATCATTTTTAATAGTGCATCTAGTTGGACAAGGCAGACCCCTCTCTTGTCTGAGCAGCCCACAAAACTACTTATGATACAGGGCTACTGAAACAAGTTGCTTCCACAACAGCAACCAGTTACGAGGGAAAGCACAGAGCAGTTTGGCTGAAGGTAAAAAAAGGAAGCTACAGGCAATGTAACAGAATCTACCACTATTGCCACATGGCTTCCAATAGTGTGATTATTTCTCTGCCCATGCTGTGTAGATGGCTTTCAGGTCTTTTTACAATGAATGGCCTCAACCTGTACTGCAGGAGCCTGACAGCAGGCAGCTGGAACAAGGTGATGATACTTGTGCTACATGGGGCTGAAGCAGATGCCCTGCAGAGAACATTTTAGTCTGCCTGAAAATGGCCTGAGAATGATCTGTGAACTGCACATGGCTGGATTGAAATTCCAGAAGAGTGAATATGCCCCTGGGCAGACACACTGGGCAGAACACTGGGCAGGTAGGAAGAAGGCAGATGGCAGGTACAGAAAGAAAGGAGAAGACCAGGCATCTGATCGGGGCCTACACGTGTCACCCCCCCCCAACAGTGATTCTAAGCAGAAAACACAGACACTATGTCATCCTCTCCAAAAAACATTAACCCTTCAGAAAGAAAGAACAAGGGAGCTAGATGATTCAGTAATTCTCACAATGTGTTTCAGGTTCTAAAGAGAAGCAGATGCTATTTCCTCTCTCTCCTTGCTCATCTCCTTCCCTTTCAAAAACAAGGAGCCCTGCAAAATCATTCTCTCCACGCAGAACAAATAGTTCATTAGTGTTTGCCTTTATGAGAGTGGGCGAATAGATTTTGTACCTTGTCGGATCAATGTTCATGCCAATTTTTCAAGGCTGCCTTGCTGAAGCAGATGCAATAACATTTTATTATATAGCACAGAATCCAAAGGGATACTCAGCATACACTGAATTAGCATAGGCACAAATCCCCTGGCTGGTTGCACTGAAAGTTGCACTGACTCTGCCACAACCCTTGCAATATCCATAGTCAAGAAACGAAGAAGGGATGAGAGAAGAGGGAGAGTGCAGCCAAAGATGTAAATATATTATGTCCACCTCGGATCCTGACAACCTTAGTTTCCTTTGATTTAGCTTCCCCACCCACAAAGAGAGAATGGAAACATCAGAAAAAGCTCCTGGACTTCCCTGGTAATTTGCAAGCACGTACAGCTCCTGAGAGGGGAATGCTAGGGTAAGGGATGGAACTGCCTTGGTAGAAGCTTTAAATAATTGACGTATTGTGACTGTACAGACAGACTCTAAAATGGCTCCGGGGGAAACAGATGGCCAGACTAAAGAATAGAAAAGAGAGATGTGAAAAGGAGCAGACGAGAGGGAGTTGAAGTAATGGGAAAACGAAAGCAAAAGTTTTGCAACATTGGCTGCACCAGCTCTTTGGCAGGGGCTCTGCGAACCCCAATGCACTGCTCAGCCTGGCCATTTCCAAAGATGTATTAGCAAATTAATGTAAGCAGAGCATAAAGTTGCTGACTGTGGTGGTGTTGAGTCACCTTGGGCCTCATCAGCATTGCTAAACATTGCCCGTAACCTTTCCATTATCACTGAGGGTCTGCACAGCACCAGGACCCAACTGCTCCAATAATTTCAATTACTTTCCCTGACAAATTTTATGTTTCATGTATTTTACTGGCCTGATAATTATGATTTCTCTCATTTCTCGCTATTGAGCTTAATAGGTTCCAGCACTAGTGTACGGTTTCAGAAATGAAGTTCCACTTGAATTCACAAGTTATTATCTACTTTCACTAATGGAATTGGAAAAAAGAGAAAGAGTGGGAAACAGATAAAGGATGAGTAGAGAAAGGAAAGCACAGAAGAGACAGATGCATGCACAAATCTCCCCCCCCCAAAAAAAAAAAAAAAAAAAAAAAAAAAAACCTAAAGAAAAACATACTGACAAAGGGAAAAAAAAGAGAGCAAGAATAGAGACTAAGTTAAGACAAAGATGAAGCACAAGGAGGACAAAACCCAAGAAGAATGCATGGGAGAACAAGATAAAGACTGAGACAGAGAGAGACAGACACAGAAAAATGGGTGCACAAACAAATGAGAAAGAACTGTGTAAGGATCAGCACAAATGAGTGGGAAAACCAGCAACATTAAGAGCATTAAAAATGCTTTCTTGCATCATGACTAAAGACTTGATAGCTTATCTCAAACCTTGTCCAGGCAGCAGAGATCTCAGCTCTGCACCTTCTCCTACTGACCACACAGAAAATTACTAATATCCCCAAAATAATCCTGCTGGCAGAGGTAGGTGTCCCAGTTAGAGTTAGTTGGAAATTAATATTTGAAAAAGTCTTAAAGATCTTGAAAAAAAGAGAGTAAAATATACTTCTTTTTCTTTTGTGGACCTGTCCTTCAAGAAAATTTAATCAAATTTGTTGTCTCTGCTGACTGAAATTGTCCCTCCTTTTCCTTTTGATCATCCCTGGAGTGCCCATAAGAGGTATACAGAATGTGCTGGAGCTATCATTATTTGCACATAACCATCATCAGAGATGCTTAAAAAATTGAATTTAAAAGCTAAAGTAGCAATTAAATACCAATCCCAGGCATGGCCTTTCAGCAGACACTGGTTACTGTCTTTTTTCCATTTATGCCTATGTAAACATCCACCTATATTCAAATTGCCACATTCTCTCCCTCCCTAGCAGAACATAGACACTCAGTATGAAAACACTGCCCTAATACCAGTGAAGAGAGAATTTACAGCAGTGATTTTAGAGAGTTGAGAGCAGAATTTTTCTTTTCAACTTTTTCTGTTGTCTCAAGTGGCAAGTATATCTATCAGGAAGACTTTAGAAGCTGAAAGCCAAAGACAGATTTTCTGTAAGCTGGAGGAAGTTGCTAAAAGAAAACAAACATCCATTAATATTGCCATTTTGACATGAAAGCATTTTTAAAAATTAATGACCCACTTTACCAGAGATGTTTATGGAGACAGTGTTCAACTCTCCTCTCCAAAGGCACAGGGACACAAATAAGCTGCTTTGGGATGCACTGCCCAATCAGGATGCAGACCATCTGCAACACGGTTAATGTCATTGGAGCACTGAGAGGAAGAGCAGACATTCAGGATGCCATCTACTGTCATTGTCATAGTTCACTGGTGGAAAGGTGCTGCTCTGAAAATCACTTATGAGCAAGCCTTGAATGTCATGAGATTATACATGGCCTTGAATAGGACAGAAAAGTGAATATAATGAGCAGAGCTATAACAGGTAATAGATACTTTAGCCTAAAGATTTCTTTTTTCCAAATCTTCAGGCAGGTATGCAAGTTAATAATCAAAACCAGAGAATCAATGCTCAAATTTTTTTCCAAAGCAAACATTACAAAAATCCACTTTAGGTCACTCTTCCTTTTCCCCCCAAGATTAACCCATTAAATAAATTTCTCAAGATAAAAAGCACTCTAAACATGAACAATCATTAACACTGTATTCAAAGATATCTAAAGGGAATTCCCAATTATCCTTCTAAATCAATTTTACAGAAAAAAAATTCTAATGGAAGAAATTTTAAAGGAAGTTTTTATGACTATTTTGAATGTTGCTATGAATTAATTTTTTATGTTCTGTTGAGCTGTTTTCAGTAAACCTGCAGATTTTCCTCCCTCTGTGATGGCACTTTGTCAGGCACTAGAAAAATATCCTTCCCTCCTAAAAGCCTCTAAAATGAGCAAACCCTGAAATTTAAATCCAAATGTGTTAAATGTGTTAAGGAAATGAAAATAAAATAAAGGATCAGGTCTCTGCTGTTTGCTGCATTTTTTCATTATTTCTGATATTAATCCCTTGAAGGGTTCAAACAAGGTTTGAATCAGAGGTGAACATCTAAAAAGCAAAAGCACACTCGCATCTGAAGTGAAGCTGTGGCCATTTCACATGTATGGATCTCTGAAATGCCAAGGAAGGGTATTTCTCTGGAATCTCCTTGTTTAGGACCAGTGACATGCCAAATGATGTGCCAAGGAGGGGTACCTCGGGGGGGATGTCCCTTGATGTACCGCCAAAAGAAGAACACAGATGATATCTCCACTTTCACACTTCCCCCTGAATGTAGTATCATCCTTCCTGCTAAAACAGCAACACTACTAAGCCTCCCTAGAAATTTAGGGAATAATTTAGGGAATACCACCTAATTTTTTTTTTTTTTTTAAATTTTTCAATAGATCACCTTCTTACACAAAACATTTTAGGTCAATCCACAATGCTACATTTTCCAGCAGCAAAAAAGACTCAGTGATGCAACTTCGTCATTTTTTTTCATTTGCACTTTGAAGCCCTGCAGAAAGCAATCATGCCACCAAAACTGATAATCTTGCAGGGTTTTTCTCTCACATTCTACACACTGATGTTGAATGCAGGCTGGAACAGTCAAGAGAGAGCTCTTCACCTTTTGTTTTCTTCGTCCTGATCTGTGTCCTGTCCTTCTCTGTCAGTTTAGGAAGGAGTGTAGGGAGGGATTCTGGATAGATAAGACTTCAAGCGTGCTAGAAGATGTAGAGTTTATGTAAGAGTTTATGATGCTGGAGACATGGTGAGGTCACCATATATATAAGGAGTAAATCACACAGAATTTCTCATTCCACAATGCAGAGATTGAAGATATGCAACTCTAATGTTATGTAGCAACAGCTCAGACAGAAGGACTTTGTAAATGCTCAAGAACAGGTTTGATAACAGTGTTTTGAAAGCTAAATCCTTCTCGACTAACACCCCTACCCACTGATACCTTCTCAGGAGAGGTGATGATTTAGTGAAGGCCAAACCAAATATCTTGGCATAGCCTACATGCTATCCCAGAAACCCAGATCATCCCCAGTGAACAGACTAATTACCTCCAACATCATAGGGGGAGCTAAAGGCTACCATCCAATGGGTGACAGCTAAGACCTTTCCATTCCTGTCCCAGGAATGGGAAAAGATCCCCATAGGATCAGGCTTGCAATATTTGTTGGTAAAAAGAGGAAGGCAGAGGCAACCCTGACTCCACTTGCCAAGGCAATCACTGTGGTGGGGGGAAATTCTGTTCAGCCTTTGACTAATGTCAATTAATACATTCTGTCTAGGTAAGTACAGAGAGAGCTGGAACCACCTCCTAGAGCTTGCAGAGCCACACAATTTGGATTTTCCTGTGCTTCATTAATTATTGTTGTTTATCTTCCTCCACCGGTAGCCAACATAGTTGTTGATTTAGGTGTAAAGAGAAGCACATTCTTTATTCCTCCTATTCTCATCCTTATACCAAAACCTGTCTGCATACTCCTGTGGAAGATACTTTTCTAACACTGTACTAAGAGTTAGCAAATTTGGATTCTGTTTCTTATTCTGTCAGGGGTTTTAAGAGTGACTTCAGCAATGCCTATTTCCCTGTCTTCAGAAGAGAATGATCTTTTTAGTAAAGAAAAAGGGGAAAAAAATTATTGAGCCTTAACCTTTTGCTTCTGTATATTGGAGAAAAGATTTTCTACACTTATCATCTCCTTGTCATGACTTGCCTAAATAATAAAATCTCATACCTTCCAGCTTCTCTGTTTTCCCACACTCCAGGATGTCACCTTGCTACAACTGCTTAAGGTTCAAGTGTTCAAAAGAACTTAGCTATCTAGTTTCCACCAGCTTCAATGAGGACACATTATCTGTCGATTTACTTTAAGGGCTGCGTATCTAATCTCGGGCTCCGATGTTGTCCTTTGGATACATTTGTGAAGGACTTTGTCCTCAATACTTTAGTTCAGAAAAATCTCATTAACTGAGGCATATACATTTGCAGAAACTATCTTCATTCCTCCTGCCACTTCTAATGAAGTGGTACCTAAGAAATATAAAGTAAAAACATAATTTTAGAGGACAGAAAGCAGCTTCATCTGTATAACCCTATGCTTGCACTTGAATGATGAAGACACTAGTTAATGTTGAGCTCTTGGGATAATGATCTTCTCAAAGGACAGGTGGACATTTTACAATCTTTGGCTTCACAAACACTATCACAACATTGCTGCCTTCATTACTGTAGACTCCAGAGACAAGTGTCCAGTGTTTAGAAGCAAAAAATCACAGCCTCCTATGTTTTTACAGTAATTGCTAGCCCAAAAGTTTATGAAGAAGGGGCATGGATCTTGTCCTTTATTTATGTGTTAATAAGAACAGAGAACATACTTACAAGCAAGGATAGATCCATGTACCTGAAGACAAGCAAACATTTATATCAGCTAGCCAGGAAAACCTGAGGGTGCTTCATAGTGAATGTCTTTATTTTAGAAATCTGACTTCAACAGCCAAAAAGAACTATTATCTGCAATCAGAAAGATGTTATGTAAAGCATAAGGGTTAATTTTGTACCTTCCAGTATAAATAATTTAAAGACTTGCACTTACTTCATCTTCTATTTTGAGAAGTCTTGGAGATTTTTGATGAAGCTACTTCATTTGCACTGGAAAACTGTTGCTTGGAGGGCCAGAAAGAGAAACCCTGTTTGTTGCAGTAATTTTCAGAATCCTTTAGTACACGTCAGCTACGTGAGGGAAGGCATTTAATTAGGGAGTTTGACTTTTTTCAGGATTCTTGCCTGACTTTGTCAAAAAGTAATTGATTATATGTGACCTGCAGATTTAAAAGGGGTATGTGACTTCTTTCCCTTCTTCTCCAACTGGCCCTGAAAGAGGGAGGCATACATTAAAGAGTAAGAACACCAGTGCAGGAACAACACACAGCTGTTACTCCCAACTCTGAAAAATGTAAAAACAAGCCCTGTTGGAGAAGCTCTTGTACCCTCCTTCTTATGGCCTCCAAACATTACTCCAGAATTCTTAGACAAAGTTAGAAGGACACAATTTTAAGCAAACAGATACCTAAAGGAAAAGAGCAAATCATACTCCAGCAAGTTTCAGAAGCAGCAATGTCAGGAGCAGATTAATAATGCCACCATGAGTATATATCATGTGAACACATGCATGAGACAGGATAAAATACACTGACAGGCAGAGCAAGAGGATGAGTATCATCCTTCCCTCCCTCCCTTCATTCTGATTAGGTGAGGAACAAGAAATCTTCTTCCAATTAGTTGCGCTCAGCCTCAAATACCAGTGAAGCATTTTGTTCATATGCCAAGAGCAGCACAGCAACCTGCTGTACCTAACAGCCCCAAAGCAGAGAGACAAGAGCCACAGGTACACTGTGCACAGATGTGAGAGAAGACAACAACTCAGCAATCGTTCACTGTTGTTGTTGGGGTAGCTGTTGAGGTGAAGCAGATAAAGAAGCCGGAGGGGCCTTTGCAAGAGTTTTACAAAGATGTTTATTTCACCCATGCCTGTGCACAGTCCCAGAGTTCAGAGGCAAAGGCAAAGGGGCTGGTCTGAGGGCCCAGGTTAAACACATGGGATGAGCAGGGCAGGGGAAGAAACATCAAAGACCAATTACCAGGGGGCATGGGGGTGTCACAAGGGTGGGATTAGGGCATGGGGGCCAACAAGGAAACAGGGTGGGAGTAACCGAAAGGCTGACGTACAGGGAGAGGGCTGACCCAAGGAACAAGACAGGCATTGTTCTGACCTAATAGAACAGGATTCGTTATCAAAAGGAGACAGCTGGGAGAGAGGCCTCTCATGTCTTTCTAACTGGGAGTGCCTTTCAAGGCCTCCACAGCTCACTATTGACCAGCCAGAGACACAACACAGTGGAAAACAAGGCAGCAAAAACAAAGCTCTTGGCAAGTATTTCTGAAGACAGTCTTATCTTTCCACCAAAAACAAAGCCTTTACAAGATACCTGGCTGACAAAATTTTGTCTCATCAGCTCAGATTTGTCCCCTAGAGCTCTCATATTAAGAGGCGCAGTGTTTTCATACAGAGTCTGTGATCATGGGCTGAAGAACAAGCTTGAAGCCACTTGGAAGTAGAAGACAGTATGATCATACGCACATCTTGCATGCTCTTGTGAAAATTAAGAAAAAAATAAATATGTAAAAGCAAAAGACTACCAGCCTCTAGGGAATTGTGGGTGTCGTGGATCCTGAAACTTTTTCTAGTCTTCATAATTTCCTGTCTCTGCCTGCATATAAAGTTAAGAACAGGAATGGAATCTTTTACCATCAAATGTTGATCTTATGACAAACTTGATCCACTTAATGGTTGAAAGTGCTTTTGAGTTTCAGGCTTCATTTTATCTTGTTTGCAAACAGCATGACATTTCTGTCATTTCAGCCATTTGCTCTCATCATCAAAATGGTGATGACAGCCATTTCCTGAAACTCTGGGGCTAAGAGAAAGGAGACGAATAACAAACTTTGGAAGATGACTGTGTATGTAAAAGTTTAGTCAATACAGAAACAAAGTGCTGCTATGATCAAGAATGTTGCTCATCTCCCTAAAATATACAAAGACAGGCAGCAGGGAGCTTCTAGCCACCATAAGACCTTTTCTGCGTCCTAGAACCAGCAGCTGTAAGACAGTTTGGCCTGTACTTTGCTACATAGATGTAATACACAACAATTATGTTTCTCTATACTGGATAGACCCATAGAGAAGTATTAATACGTCTTTAATTAACTATCATTACAACAGATAGGTAATAAAATGTCCTATAATTCAATTTAAGAAGTCTGCTTTAGGTAGCTGAAGGATGAGAGTATAATTCCAGTTCTCATTTTTTGTCTGTATGAATGGGATAAATCAGATATGCTCAGTCAGAAACAACTTCTGAGCAGTTTTTCCAGCAGGGGCACCTGAGCCCTCACCATGCAGAAAAAGGACAATGATGCATTAGAGCATGACCTTAGGTGAAGCACGTAACCTCTTCGTGCTTCATTTCTCCCCCATCTGTGGAAACAAAAATGGCATTTACCTAACTAGCAGGGGTACTGTGCAACTTAATTCATTACTGCTTCACTGTGACTCTGAGAGCCTTGGATAAAAAGGTGCTAAGAATCAGCAGGGGAAGGAATGACACTCAGAACATTACACATAGGCTGATGCAACAAACTAATCCATGCACTACTTACATGGATATTTATTACAAAATGTATTTTTGTTGGTGGTTTTGATTTGGAGTCTTTACTGGCTTTAATGTGCTGTATTACCATTCCCAGGAAATTCTCTATCAATCCACAGGACAGGGAACAACACTTGCTTTCCATACCTTATTCCATAGACACATCCAAATGTTGACAGAGAGAGACTGTCTCCAAGCCAGAGATTAGATCTCAGGCTT